TAACAATAATGAAGACGATAATGTTTCTGTTATCGTTGTTGTTGATGACGATGATGATGGCGAGTGAATGAGTTCTTAAGTGAGTTCAACTATCCACTTAAATAAACTGAAAAATGATTATCGAAAAACAAACAATCAAGTAAAAGAACAAAGAAAAGAACAAAAAGCCTTGTAATGGATGGATGGAATGAATAAATCGATGCAAAAAGTCAAATGCAAAAAAGTTGAAGACAATAAAAGACAAACAAAAAGTGATTGATGAATGCTTAGATCCACCTCATTTCACTTGCTCAAAGATAGCCTTCTAGTTTCTATTGTTGACTTGTGATTGTTTTAATATTTGAGGAAGACAAACAGACAATTGTTTTCAAGTATTGGTTTCTCGGGATTTGATTGGTTCAAAAATGGATTTCAATCTGAGCTGACATTAGTTAGAGAACCATCAGAAAACCAGCTAGGAGTACTGGACAGCTGTCTCGTTAGCCAAGTTTGCGACTCTTCAGCAGTACACCCTTACTACCATCGTTTGAACCCAGGGCCTTTTGGCTACAAGGCGAGCTAGCTCGTTGACCATTAAGCCATTGGGACCCGAATCAATGAATAGCCCATGAATTCTTACTTCTTCCAATTCACTACATAACGCGACTCCAAGCCAGTGTCCTCCGCAAGTATTTGTCCTCACAAACGACCTGCTGCATTCTACTGGTAACAATGAGGTGCCCAATGGCGACTGGCCCTATTCAAGTAGGCTTCTACCTTGGTTTCGTTGCAAAGTCGCACTTTGTCGTGAATTGGCAGAAATTAGAATTCATGGGCTGTCCATTGAATCGGGTCCCAACGACTTAATGGTCAACGAGCTAGCTTGCCTTGTAACCAGAATTTCCTGAGTTCGAACCTCCCGTAGAAACAGCTGTCCAGTACTTCCAGGTTTTCTAATGGTTCTCTAACGAATATGAGGTCATGATGAAATCCTGTAGACAACTGTTTTGCTTTTGTGTGTGACTCTTATTCATCCTCCTCTGTGTTTCACGTAATTATCTCATATAGAAGATGAAGACAGGAGTGTGTAGAATAAACGCTGTAAGCATATGAAACAACTTTGAACAGATCAGTAAATAGAAAGCCATTTGACAAACTTTTACTGTTAGGTACACATCAATCGTAAGCGAAACCTGATAATATCTCTTGTCACTAGGATTCAACGAATCTGCAGCTCCAGAACCAACAACACCTCATCATCTTTATGAGGAAGATGTCATACATGAATGTGGATTTCAAAGGAGACCTTCTGGCTGACATCCTTCAGAAGAGAATATCTAACGTCCTGAAAAGAACATTTTCTGCTGCTAAACTACGATTGGTATTCTCATGCCGCCCATTGTTCTTCAAAAACTCCAAACACAAACCGTCGTATTCGACAACTTCTATGTTTATCTACAAATTTGCTTGCTCATATGAAGTGACTATAATTAAACATATCTCAATATGTAGGGAAAATTCATTCAAAAATATCTACCAAATCTAAAGAATCCTCCCTAAAACAGTGTGCTTATTTATAATTTGCTGATTATTCCTGCGTTATTATCGCCGTTAAAATCAAGTTGGATGACGATTGGTTTCTTGCTCACTGTGGTTTTTCTTACCTATAGATAAGCAGATCTTTCAAACGTTTTGATGAATTCTGGAAAGTGATCATTATTTTTCAAAACTTTGTCAATCTTTAGGAATTCTCTCAGTATTTCTATGAAGCATATTCTTCTGATTCTGTAAAGCAGAGTTTTGACCAATACGACGGTTTCCCGCCCAGGTTCATGGACAAGAATCTCAAATCTAAGAAGACTTCCGGACAAGTCCAATCCGTTCCAAAGAAAACACTTCTGCTTAATCTAGAATTCAAAAGCGATATTGAAGTAGAAATCCCTCGTAAACGCCTCCCCAAATCGCTGAGGAAAACATACTTCGCCGCGAGCCTACGACTGACGTTTTCCTGCAAGAAACTGTTCAGCCAGAATGCGAAAGACAAGCTGTCACATTGGGCCACCTCAACATGCATATACCAGTTTACCTGCTCTTGTGGAGCTGAGTACATCGGCTGTACCATGCGCCGACTTGAAAAACGCGCCTGTGAGCACTAACTAGCCTGGTCAGTAAAAGGAGGCCGAAAGCGTGTATACAGTTCAATGACAGAACATCTGGTCAATTCAGGACATTCAGCGCCTTTCGAAAATCCTTCAAAGTAATATACAGGATTCAGTCAAACCTATCAAAGGGAGTGAAATCAAGACATCTGGGCATAGCCGAGGCGTTAGTTATCCAAAAACTCAAACTCACGCTTTGTATCCAAAAGAAATACGCCCCACCCCTGTCCCAGCCATGGCAATCATAAACGGGTAATTTTTTCAGTGATGGCCATCCCATCACCTTTCTTATCTAAACTTCCTGTTTATTCATGTTATTTTTAAGTTTTTCTTAATCCCTGTTTACACTTCCATATTTTCATACCCGAACTTCGTGTTTATTTTGTCATTTTACTATTTCTACATATTTAATCCCTGACTGCATAAACAATTATTCATCACATTAGTTTTTTTATCCAAACATCCTGTCTATTTTGTTATTTCTACATTTGTAACCCCTGATTGCACAATGTCAATCTTCTTAGTTATTATGATGCTACTTTGTTTGAGTTTTATCCGCTCCGCCCCCTATTTATTATGGCATTTCAATTCCTAACTGTAATGTTTATTAATTTGACCGTTAACCGGAAATTATTGTGGAACTTTCCCATCCATTTGATATAAATACACGAATGTACAGCCTAGATGATGACTTCGTCGAAAAGACAATTTTCTTTGCTGCAATTGTCTTCTTAATAACTCCTATGAGCCAATGCGTATATTCCAAAATACACATTCATAGATAATCGGATAAGTACTATTGGAATCTACGTATATTCTATACCACGTGGATTTTTCGTGAATGGATCTTTACTGACCCCCATCTTCTAAGTATTGTATAGAAATATGGAGGAAATTGAACTTTCCATCAGTTATATATGCCATTGTGAAGTCAATATTCTCATGTGCATCACTGAAGAGTTGAAGTAGATGAGTGTATGGTTTTCATTATCAAATGTTCTGATATGTTCGTAAACGGCTGAAGAGAAGTCAACGAAATGAATGATAGTGCCAGCTTATTCCGTACCGATTGCTGTTATTGCTTTATTTAAAATTATTTTCATGATTGTCATTTATGATATTAAGCAGATCACCTATATCATGATCTGAATACTCCTGATTTCAAAAGGAAATTATGGTGAATTCCTACATCAAATTATATGTAATAGGCGAGTCGTTGACCACCACTCAGATGATTTGAACTGATTTGGCTCTCTGAAATGATTTCAACATGAGCTGACATTAGTTAGAGAACCAATAGAAAACCAGCTGGGAGTACTGGACAGCTGTCTCGTCAGCCAAGTTTGGGACTCTTCAGCAGTACACCCTTACTTCCACCGTTCAAATCCAGGACCTTCTGGTTACAAGGCGAGCTAGCTCGTTGACCATTAAGCCATTAGGACCCGAGTCAATGAATTGCTCATGAATTCTTACTTCTTCCAATTCACGACATAGCGCGACTCCTAGCCAGTGTCGTTCGCAAGTATTTGTCCTCACAACCGACCTCCTGCACCCTTATGGTCACGACTTCTCACTAGAACCCCAGGAAACTACCTACCGTAATAGGGCAAATTGGAAGTGAGCATCTCATCGATATTCAAGTGTTGGTTTGTAGGGATTTGTTTGGTTGCGGGATTTCATTATGAGCTGACATTGCTTATAGCATCATTCGAAAACCTGAAAGTACTGATCAGATGAATGTTTTGTCCTAGTTTCGGACTCTACAGTAGTACTCAACTACCGGGATTCGAACCCATGATGTGGTCGTGACTTAGCAGAAGTTAGAATTCATGCGCTGGCCATTGAATTGGGTCCCAATGACCTAATGGTCTACGAGCTTGCCTAGTATCCGGAAGGTCCTGGGTTCGAACGATGGTGGTGGCGTACTTCTGAAGTGTCACAAACTTGGCTGACCAAACAGGTGTCGAGTACTACCAGGTTTTCAAATGTTTTTCTCATGATGACATCCCCTTACGAATCAATCGAATCCCTACAAACCAACACTTGAATCTCTGAAATGAGTAGAATCGGGTAATTCATTGATGAGCCCCATTTCTTGAAGTCTATAAACCAGGATTTGAAAAGCGAAATATGGACCTCTTACTCGAAAATTAGTGAGGATATCCAAAAGACGAACTTAAAACAAAGAAGAACTGCAAAGGTTTCAAAATTTATGTCAAATAAATACTTCGCTTTATTGACTGAATTGTTACAGTCATCACCGAAGACATTTCAAACTGGTTACTATGGTCTTTCATCAATTGCTACCTTTCGACGATACTGCAGATAAGATAGCCAGGCAAAAAGATAAGCCAAGCTATGAAAAATTCAGACATATTATAACGTATTATACAAAAAATACGCAGATGGAAATAGAGGTGGATAGGATAAGCAGTGAACCATCATTCAAGCGAAATGACGCGCCAGGTAGTTAAGTACACCCGGAATGGATAAACATCCGAGTGTGACATCGAGGAAATGATATGATAAGAAGTTATAACCTGGTGTGGCATTCGTTGAGTCTGCTCAACATGACTTTATAGAACCGAGGAGTGTGAATATGTCCCAATGCAGACTTTTCTTCCACTTAAAAAGCAATGAACAAATGACAGTAATGTTAATAACGACATTCAGGTGTTAGAAACAACACATATACGATTATGATTATTAAGAGTAGCGTAAAATCCACGTTTTATATTAATGAATATATATATATATATATATATATATATATATATATATATATATATATATATATATATATATATATATATATATATATATATATATATATATATATATATATAAAAAGGAAACGCTCACTTCTTGTGGTGGCACATCAAATGTCACTGTTCTCAAATCCACTTTACGCATTCGATCCATACAGGGTACAACAAAAAATAGACCTGGACCTTTTGCACCTCCTGGAAGAATTCTTCCCAAACGAAATATAACCGCTCTTTCATATTCAGCGATAACCTGATTGGTTAAATATTTGAAGGGATTAAAGACAAAATAGAATTTTGTAAACATTATTCAAGAGAAAGGCAGAGATTATATCTTATATATATTTAACTGTCAAGTAATGAAACTTTAGTCAGTCCATGTTTCGATATACCGTTCATAAAGCTGTTTGAGATTAGTAGTCAGCTGGCGAACTATCATATAGATTTTTTTTCATTTCTTTACGTTCCCCCACAGGAACATAGGAGTTCAAGCTGCAACTCTGAAGCTTCGTTAGCAAAGGTATTTATTTTTTATGGGGTGAGGTTGCTAGCCTTACACCTTCCCTCCTTACTACCGGCCTTTCTACCGGCTTAGTCAGGTAAAGGAGTGAGTCGGTGTCCAAGGGATCGAACGCCTGATCATATGAGACGTGGTTGGCGAACATTCTACTACAGAACCACTAATCATCCAATGGCATTTTTAAATTAATCTAAAAATGAGTAGGGAAAGTATGCGGTGAATTTTACATTAACTTCACAATCTGTGTATCATCCAAATGCAGTTTAGTTCCCATTATTTTAAAATAGATTATTGAGTTTTCAATCATTTTAGGTTATATGATGAAAAATTAATGAAGTATAAGAAATTGAAATAAATACAACACAGAAATAAATGACGCCGAATATCTTTGGATATGAAATACAAATATACAGGTCAAAACAAATTAATTCATTAGCATTTGAATGACTGTGTGATGACTGAACAGTGAATTGGAAACTGCATGATATGAGGGATTCGATTATCATTCCACTAGTTGTCTGGTTAGGTATTCTTTTGTAAATCCTAATCTTGAGGAGTTAGAAGGAAAGAAGATTTTGATTTTGACATTCAGCTGCCAATCATCATATCAATGAAAGTCTTTCAAGACAAGAATACCTCAGACATCATAGATTGATATCAGTTGAAGAACCAACCAGTGAAAATTAAAAAATGCATGACAGTTCATTTGCTCCTAATTCGGGACTCATCAGCAGTGAGCATCCACCACAAGAGTTCAAACCCAGGACTATCCCGTTAAAAGGCAAGCTTTAAGGCCATTCAGTCACTGGCACCCAACCCGGTGGCCAACAAATTAATTCTAGCTTCTACTACTTTCGTGATTTTAGCACGACCATAAGTGTAGTCAACCCGACTGCTAGTTGCCAGCAAATAAATTACTTCAAAATGTATGAATTAATTTAGAAATAATATAATTCTACGAACGAGAAAATTTTCTTTTTTCATTTCTTTACGTGACCAGTGCAACATAGGGGGACTCAAGCTGGTGGTGGCTCGAAGTCTCGGTAGAAGTGGTGGGATTGAAACCCCGACCACATTAGGGCATGGTTAGCGAGCATTCTACCGCTGTGCTACCAAGGCACAAGAACACGAGAGAAAACATCTAAATGAAACTTACTCTTGTTGTAAAGCATAAAGAGAAGGGAAGTGTAATGAGAATCAGTAGATAGGAAATACCAAGGAGGATGAAGCCGAAACAGCCAAGATCTCCTGTAGCGTCTGAAATAGCTGGAAACAGAAAATGAAAACGAAAATAAAAGAATTTTTTTAAACAATATTAGTAATGATTGCATAACAAAGACACTAATTATTATTATTACTTTAGTTACTGGCAGTTAGTCATCGATAGCTCAGCGTTAGAATGCCCAGCAACCACGCCAAAAGTGCTCCAAGCTTCAAATCCCAGCTGACATAATCTTAGACCTCGTTAAGCCGGCAGTTAACCCCGAGGAGAGGGAAACCACTCCTCCGCGTAAAAATGACACCGCATCTACTGAAACTTCAAAGCTAAAGCTTGACACCTTATGCTACACTGTGAAAAGTAAGAAATAGGAAATATTGTTAACAGTAGCAGTAGGTGTGCCTAAATTTCCTCATAAGATACTTTTTTTAATATATATATATATATGTATGTTTGTATAATTAGTTTGTAAGAATTAGTTTAGTTTTTACGAGTTGATCACGGATTGAGTTCAGTTAGAGACCCACCGGAATCCACCAGGGAGTACTGGACAGCTGTTTTATCTTAGTTTGGGAATCATCAGCAGTACGCACCCACCATCAAGGATCGAACCTAGGACCTTCTGGTTACAAGGCAGGCTGGCTCGCATACCACTCAGCGACCGGAATGCGATTCAATGACTGGATGAACCTCACCGGTCACGTGTGAGGATAGATGTTTCTCCGACGAAATTGGTTGGTTTCGCGCTAAATCACGAATTCATAGGCTGGCTATTGAATCAAGTCCCATTGGCTGAATAGTATACCAGATCACTTGCCTTGTAACCGGAAGGTCCTGGGTTTGAACCTTTATGGTGGGTCAGTAGATGTTTTGCCAAACCTCCAAGAAGAAAAGATGAATTGACATTGACACACCGAATAGATATTTATTCCCTTCCTGTGTTTTTCTTGTTGTTGTTTTTTTTCGGCCATACCATTTGTGTCCAAAAGGATAGAGGAAGTAATGACAACCAGTATACAATATAAGAACTGGCCAGTTGTTTTTTGGAGATAAGAAAACATTTTAGGAAATTAACATAAAATTAGAAAATAGAACATGAAAACAAAAGAACCTTTTGAAAAACAACAGAAAAGTATAAAAGATGGTAAAATTAGATAGGCAGACAGTTTATTATTATTATTATTATTATAATTTTCACTTTGTTATTATTTATACATCACGTTCTCTGTGGAACTTAAGACTCTAGTATTATCTAGATGGTTGAAGGCAATTGGCTGGACTGTTTCCACCTAAGTTTTATGCTCATATTGGAACTCGTCACTAAGACTTATCCGCAATAGTGAAGAAACTCGTGTTTCCTCCAGGAAATTTGAACATATGTCAGCTAGTGGAGCAGTCAGAGACGTTACCAGTGAGCGATTCGGGATCACGATTGACCTCCTTCAGCACTAGTTGACTGAATCAAACAAAAAAATAGACTCATATTACTGAGTGATACTGGTTTGAATCACAGAAAGGACCTGAGTTCCTTCAACATTGAAGACAGTATCTTACCAAAGAATGCCAACTGGAGCATGAAACGTAGGTGGAAGGCTTCCAGGCTATTATCTACAGCCATCTTATAATAAGAATTTGCAGTGCAATGGGATGTCAAGCCACCTAACATGGTGGCCCAATTGCCAATTTGACTGACAGAATTCACTCTACACTAAACGAAGAAGGACTAGACGCATGATACTAGTTCCTAACTAGCATCCGGTTAAATTATAAGACTCTACAAGGCACAACATCATTCAAGTTGGTTCCCTAATATCACTTTCAGCTCACATTCTTTCATTTTCACCTAACACAATGTTCCTCATGTCACTTTTCGAACCAACATTCAAGTTCCATTAAATGACACGCCGTGACATATCACTCGAATATCACCTTAATTCTAATCTCGCTCGACTTCCTTGTGTATATTTGCTGCATGATAGGTTCTTGTTTTGTTCTTTGTCTTTGGTTTTCTTTCTTTCGCGGCCAGCTTTCCGATCGTTAGTATGAAATGAAGTTAGATATCGATGAAAGCCTGCAGCCTATTCAAAATGTTTATAGCAACACATCTTCAAAGTCTGTTAACCGAAAAGAGGCTATGACTTGTCTCTCGTACTAAATGCAGTGGACCCCCAAAATGACTTTAGAGAAATTAACGCTATCCTGTCTTCCAACTGGTCTGCTCAGCGGTCCGCTCCGTCCTCCCTTATGACTGTGAGACCTGGCCACTGAGTGTGAAAGACATGAGAAGCCTGGCTAGCTGTCTTCGAACATAGGTGTCTGCGTTTTATCTGTCATGTGTCAAGTGGTATAAAAAGGTGAGTATTATAGGCGTTGAGTGCTTGGTAAGGAGGGGAAATCAACCAATGAGGCTGTGGAATTACATCGACTGATATGGTTAGGACATGTGTTACGTATGCCTAGTCATCGCTTTCCTCGACAACGGGCAAGGTAAGCTGACATGAGGTCAGGCTGGAAAAGAGCCAGTGATGGTCAAACCAAAACATGACACCAGTCAATGAAATCCACAACAGTTAGTTTAAGCCAGCCACGTAGAAAAGTGTAGACTTCCTGACTGGTTAAAGTCCTCGGGACGGTAAAAATCAATGAGGGCTGGAGACAATTGTTGATATGGCTTAAAATTGTTCTCAATAGTTGGCACAGATGCATCCACTCCTTGTGACTTATGATTTCTAATGAAACTATATTGTTCTTCGTTATTACTATTCCTTTGTCTCACACGTCTGTTTACTGTTTCTATTATGTATTTCTTTTTACTTTCTTCTCTTGATTTGTGTGGTACATGAAGGGAGTGTGGTGACTTGAACTGCCCCACATATGTGCAAAGTTCTACGTGGAAAACAGACGAACAGACTTCCCACTGGTAGCCGACTTTGACATCTTTATCCGTGACTCCAGAGATAGAAACAATGCTGCACAGTTTAGGAAAAAATGACTCCTTCCTTCAGATTTATCACTTCTGCGATTGTTGCTGTGTTTGTTTTGTTTGGTTGAGCATCTTTATCGCCACTGTCATCCCTACATAAATTCGACGTCCTGTGATTGCTGCTCTTCGTACCACCTAGTTGGTTTTCTCTTGTGTATCTCCAAATTCTCGCGGCTTTTGACGTATATCAGCCATGGGGTCCATATCTTCTAGGGTCTTTTAATCAGTTCAACGTATGCATATTTTCTTACTCTCCATGATCTGACGCGTGATCCGGTTTACCCCAGTCAGGAAAGTAACTCGTTATATTAAGCACCGAGTCGCACAAGTCACGTGATAGCTATGAAGACTAATTAGTAGCTATATTAAGACATACAACTGTTATGCGACTTCAGCGGCTTACACTGATTATTTAAGTGTGTACTGACATGAGTTTAGGGGCTATATAAGTTAACATTAAATAACTAATGGGAGAAAGGTTCAGTGATCACTCTATAGAATTCTCCTTCTCAATAGAGCATTTCCAAGTTAGTTAGTTAGTTAGTTAGTTGGCCTGATCTCACAGGAACCCAACGTCCAGTACATCTTGAAGGCGAAACTAACTGTGGTATTTTACACATCTTCTAAAATAACGCAAACACCGAAACTTTCTACTAAGAATTCGCGACCAATTTGTACACATTTTATGCTGTAAGCTATTTTATACTTAGTCAACAATAATAATGACGATAATAGCAAACGTTTGTTTAAGATACGTTAAAAACCACTTGAAAACAACTTTATAAGTATAATTATTCTACTCAGACAAAACATTTGCCGTTTCATTGTTTTCCGCTCGCTGAGAATCACTTTTAATAATAATGATACCTTCATTCGGAAAGGTGTCTACACCTAATAGAGAATTTTTTGAGCCTTATTTGCAAGGCATCTGTCCTTTGTGATGAATCTTGAAAAATAATATAATAATCAATAATACACAAACTGAAAAAATATTGTTCTATCTAGATTATCTAGGGAGCGTTGTCTCAACTCACCTTCAGGAGGAACGGACGAGGATGTCAAATCGAGCGAGAATCGGGAAGGTGAGAAACACACACACTCATCAACCTGAAACCAATCTGTAAATCTTCCTCACTCAACATCCACAACATCACAATCCAGTCGGATTTTCAATACAAACGTCAAGTCAGTTAGCTTTTCTATTCGGATCAGAAACTTGGCCGGTCAAAAAGAATATTTCCAACAGCCTGTTTCAGACGTTAACTGTCTTCGCTGGCTCTATACTGAAGATCAGATGGCCGGGCCGGAAAGAATCACCAACAAGAAACAAGGGGTACTAACAAACAAAACAAGAACCAAATGCCCAACAAGTATGCAGGAGAAAGTGAAGATGGATCGGACACTGGCTGAGGAGGGCGCTGGGTGACATCGCACTCGTCAGGCCCTCGAGTGGAACTCGAAAGGGAAGAGGCGAGTGGGACGTCAGTGCAAGGGTGACATGGAGGAGATCGTGTGAAGAGGAGTTGGAACAGTATGGGCTAACATGGATGCAGGTGAAAAGTACAGGAGAAGACAGAAGTGGGAAGTGGAGATGTGCAGTTGAAGTCTTATGTTCCACTAGGAACCCAACGGAACCATAATGATAATCATTATTCCTCGATGGTACTCCTCCATCTTCTTTAAGAAATGTCCTACCGATAGCTGGAAACTTATTCGACATTTTACACGAGTGTAGATTGCGACTCAGTGTGGCGATTACAAGATTAAGACATTTTGAAATTTAGTAAGCACGACATATTTTGATTGGTAGAAAAACATTTAGGTAACCCAAAGATTTAAACGGTTTGCCGTCATTACAGAGCGTTTGTGATTTGGCTCAAATCTTTCTGAATGACACAAATGCATTCATTGTTCGTAATGTTCTACGGTGGAACGCCCATCAAACATAAGCCGTGCAATAAGGCGTGTTTCTCGTAGGATTTCCGAATATCATCTTGCATAATGGTTAAGTAAAAGACAAACAAAATCTATTCGTAACGCTATTCTATCTCATCTTGTGGATAC